TCCTAGATGTGATGACCACTCCGTGAAGTTCTCGTTATCTAGCAATTTAAATGTAGTGAAGTTATAGCTAATCTAAGAAAACACAAAGCAGTAAGTTTGTGATCCAAGTTAAGAAGGCTCACTCAGGTATGAGTCACCCTAGATTGCAGTTAGGCCAAGTTGTAATTCACCTAAACCAACTTTATTGATGTTTAAATCGTGGAAAGTTCTCAAATAGTCTGGAGTCTCGACTAAAGTGCTCTAGACCCTCTCAGTTTGAATACCCGGCGGACGACTAACCTCCACCGGCGTAAGCTAAATGAAACAATAAGATCAAACTTCCTCTACTGGGTTCTAAACCAGTACAGAGCAGTGAATTGACTTCACAACTAAAGTCGCTGTTTCACTACCTCCAATTGAGGATGCTCTATTGACCTATGCAGAGATTATCTTTCTAGGTCAAAGCATGAATCACTAGAATTTGATCAAGACTCAAGCAATTCTGAACAAGTACTTCAACTATATATAAATCAATCAATCATTCATGGCAAAGGGTGATTTTACCTAATATCGTAAATGTGGGTAAAATCGAATCGTAAAATTTTAGGATTTTAAGCTCCATATAACATTGACAAAATAATATTAAGAAAAAAATCATGAATAACACAAAAACACATAACACTTGCAATGATAATTTCTCGAGGTTAATGTTCCAATTTATCAAAGTTAATGTTGGAAAGTGGTGAATCGATGATGATTAATATGTTGATGTGAATTGATGATGATCGATGGTGGTTAGCATGAGAAAAATAGATTATGTTGGCAGAGGAGAAGGAAAAGAGGCGTAATTTTGAAAATTTTGGGGAAAATAAGTAAAATGATCAAAAGATTTGAGTCATAAAATTGTAAGATTTTCAAGATTTTAAGGATTTAAATCATGAATACTGTAGGATTTTAAGATCGATAGATTTTATAGTGAAATCAGGATTGGAACAGGTAAGTAAATTATAAAATCGTTGGATTTTAGGATTTAAATTGGAATTTTGACTACTTTGAGTAGGAAGATGAGAACATATAGAATCATGGTGAGTGGATAAATCTGTTGTGGATTCCCTCAACCACGTATGTACATGCCAGTTTTCTTATCGAAGCGACTCTAAGGAAACTCTATGATGAGCATGGATATGCAACACTTTTCCTTCTACTTTCCCCTCGTCCAGTAGTTAGATTCATTTTGTTTCCCTTTGTGTTCATATACAAAATAATATGGAATCTTACCCTTGGAGACACATCAATCTCCATGATTCATTTTAAAACCCCAAAGTAGGTTCTACCTAACTGAGTAAGAAAACGTGAGACTAAGGAATGACGATCCTGGTTACCTACTAGGTAAATTCGACCCACTATTCTACATCAGATCATATGTTGTAATGCAATTTAGAGAGGAGGATCGGTGGAATCTAGAGTCCATCAATTATCGTACTAACCTTATTTTAGAACCATAGGGTCAACCTTGTTTCAACACTTCCCCCACTATGGGATTGAGAGGTACTTTTCGTCGCCTTAAAGAATAATGTTAATAGATGAGTATGAGGTACTTAGCAGTCAAAAGGTGAACTTGGGAAAGTTTGTTGTCTGTTTTAGTGCTAACATCCTAATGGAGGAGAGGCTGGCGATGGCTTCCAACTTCCAAGTTGGGTGTAGGGGCGGTTGGGGTACACGATAAGTATCTCGGCTTACCATCTCTGATAGCCAGATCAAAGTCTGATACTTTCAGGTTTTTAGAGGAAAGGCTCCTCCAGAGGCTATAGAGCTGGAAGCAACGCCATTTATCCTGGGAGGCAAAAGAAACTCTCCTTAAGGCAACGGCAATGGCTTTACCGATACATGCTATGGCTTGTTTTAAGATTCCAGTTACTTCGTGTAGGCTTCCGGATAAGCACATGGATAGAATCTTGTGAGGGTTTGTGGTTGAGAGGCTAAAGAGTCATTAGATATCCTAGAAAAGGCTCCGCCGTTTCAAGCACGAGGGGGTTGGGTTTTCCGAAGATTGTTGTTCAATCAGGTTCTTCTCGTGAAGGTGGCTTGGTGTATTCATTCGAGTCCGAGTCGTTACTAGTGCAGATTTATAGGGGTAAGTATTTCCCAAATGACTTTATTTTTACGGTCATTGCCCGATCAAGACCTTTATGGGGTTGGCAGGGTGTGGTGTGCTTCATGGATGTCAACTTCTAAGACAAGGAATGGTGTGACAGACTAGATTCCATCAGTTATGTTTGGTGATCCATTAATGGGAGATGAAATGGTGGAAAAGTTGATTGATTCCAAAAGAGGAGTGTGTGGAGTGCTTACAATCAGTGTTTTGTCCGACTATAGTGAGAGCCATCTTGGCCATTGCTTTGTCGTGTATGTCAATGCTGGATCGGCTAGTTTGGCGCGAGGACTCGTAAGGGTTTATACGGTGAAGTCTGGCTACAAGCTTGCTAAACGGTTGTTCCGTTTAGTGGGTAGATGTAAATTGGAATCCTGATCGGTGATTGATAACTCTAGATTAAGGTATGCAACATGCCGATTCAGCCAAAGCTTAAGTTCTTTGTGTGGGAACTTCTGCAGAGGCTTTTGCCGATGATGGAGGCTTTGCGTGATAAAAAAGTGTCCATCCTTGCCCGATGCCCAGTATGTTGGGCAGAGGAAGAGAGTACAAAGCATCTATTTTTGCATTGCCTAGTGGGTGGGAGTCTGTCAGAATTTTAGCTGAGGTAGATATGTTGTCTTGGAGTGCTTTCATATTTTTTTTTTCAAAGATTCCTAGAGCGGGACTCCACCATGCCTCGTGTGGTGCGGTTATTATCCTCATCTAGAGGGGTTGGAAGGCGAGAAACCATGTGGTTTTTTTAGGGCAAGTAGGTAATCCCTTGCATTTTGAGGCAACATTTCATGTTTCAAGTGGAGGAATGGTTGCAGGTCCCAGTGAGGACAGGGGTAGTAGAGACTGTTGAAAATGGTCTTTCGAGGGCAGGAAACTAGGTTGATGACAAAGATCCGACAATGGGTGTGGTGTGCTCTTTTGACGGAGTAGTGTGTGTAGGATCCCATGGGGTGGGTGGTCTAGTTTTGCGGGAGGTGTCTGAAGATATAGTTGCTGCTAGTGGGATGACATACAATGGTCTTCAAAAGACAATGCTAGTGGAGCTTTCAGCGCGACGCGATGGAGTCAAGTGGTGCCAGCTTAAGGGATTGGAGTCTGTACGAATTGAAGGTGATGCGAAAACCATCATTGAGAATGTGAAGGCTAGATCAATCCAGGATGCGGTTGGTGGTGCTCTTCTTGAAGAAATTCAACAGCTTCTTTCGGCTACTCCAGAATTCGGGCTTCAGTTTGTGGGTAGACAATACAATAGGGCAGACCATATGGTGGCTAGAAAGACCCTGTCTTTGTTTCCTACGGGTTGTAATAGTTTTGATTTTCGATTGTGGGTGTGATCGGAAAATGAGATGGTTGAACTTTGTGTTCTTGTTGATGCAAGCAATCTTTTTGCTGAAAATAAAGAGTTTGCTTTGGAATACGTTATAGTTTGGTCTATTTAGAAAGAGTATTGTAATTCTCGTAGGTTTTTAGAGAGAAACCTTGAAATCAAGTAGTTTATTGACATAAATTAGATGTGAATTGAGCTGCTTGGATGTAAGTCAAGAGGGATCTTCCTATCGGCTTGCAACAACTTTCATTAGGGGCACTAATCAGTTTCAGTTAGTAGTTAATCATTAAGTAAAAAAATACTTACCGATAGTCAAACCACTTATCCTTTGTGGTAGTAACTAACAGTTACCAATTAGCTTACCAATTAACAATTAAACCAATAACAGACTCCACATATTGCATGTAACATATTTTTTGTTTCCTTGTTAACAATAAAGTATAATCATACAAAATAGCAATTTAACCACCATTCTACATTGACAACATAAATTAATAATCATAGAAAATAACACAAATAAAATATATCACCAATCGTGAATTTATAATTAGTCCAAATTCCAATACATAAAATTAAAATAATAAAACACCATCATCATCTCTTAGCAAGTATCAACTAGCCATATTTCAAACACAAGCACCACAAAATCATCAACATCATCATTATCATTATCACCATCATCCACGTCCATAAAAGAAACAAAGACTACTAGGAAATGAGGTTCTGCAAAGTAAAGGTGGAGAGAGGGGTGACTTCCGAGTTCTGACTAATTGAGATGCTTGAGACTCTAGCCGGAGGGTCGTTTCTAATAAGTGTTGAGATATTTGACATTGTAAGTTTGGTTGGTCTGAAATTTTAAGATTTTCCCCTCAGTGAAAATCCAAACCGACGGTCAATTATCAATTAACTTAATAGTTAACTACTAAACAAAATCAGCTTATCGATAACTAAATCATTAAAAAATTCTAAGTTAACCATTAATGGTTATTATTGATTTGCTTATTGATTTTAAGCGATAACCGACCAACTGTTCACCAACACGATCTTTGACATGATTTCAATTACAATGGACTTATGGTACTTTTCAAAAGCCTCTACTAGCTGTCAATTTCTTTGGCACTAAATTTGAATACCATATGATTTTTTGATTTTCTAGAATATCTTATTTCTTTTCATCTATCCGCCAATTTCAGTCCAACCATCCCATTGTTTTATTTTGTAATAAATTATAATCCGCTCGCAATTAGTTGTAGGGTGTGTAACGGGTTGGTTCATATTGGACCGCACCAATGAAATCGACGTTTGAATTGAGTCACGCCGATTCAAATATAATGTGATCTAGTTCTTAATCCTATAAATTCTATAATTACTTAAAAATGGACCAAATTAGACCGAACAGTAGCTGTTGAGAACCCTAAATTTAGTAGTCATCAATTAAATTCTTTCCAAAGTAGTTTTTTACCCTAATGAACTAATGATATATAATCAAATCGTTCACCCAGGGAAAAAAAAAGAGAAGAAAAAAGCTGGGAGACAAAGAGAGTCGCAGCCCAAAACCAAAGGGACAGTAGTAGTCTTTCTGAAACGCCAAACTCACACCTCTCCTCCACACCATCAGCATTCACCACCACGATTGCTATTGGGATTTCGCTACGCTGCGCTGCTCTCTCTCTCTTTCCCTCTCTGAACTCAAAGCTGCGGATGTATAGGCATCCATCGCCTCTCTCTTTCCTGCCTCAGGTACTCTCCTTCCTTCTCCTTCTCTTCGTGTCTAAGCTTTGCGGCAGTGATCTGTTAGGTCATTTTTTTTCTTGCTCTTCTTTCTGATTCAGTTTAATACGGTGTAATCATCTCCGTGTATTCCCCGATTGCTGTGATTGTGGTCTGTGTAGGGTTTTCTGATCTTTTTTTTTGTTGCTCTTAGGGGTTGTATGCTTTGGCTGAAACGGTGCCCTTTGTTCTTCTTCTTGTTCTTGTGTTGCAGCAGCAGTAGTCGGAAGTAGAGAGAAAAGTCGGATATGGCAGCGGTAAGATCGAGCTTACCGTCTAGGTTGAGGCAGCTTCTTTCCGGAGAAAGCCTAATCGGTCCTTCCATTAAACTTGACTCCGACCCTGTGAGTTTGCTATTCACTTCGGCTCCTTTTTGAACTCTTTTGTCTCCCCGTTTAGAATCTTTAGTGTTTGGTCTCTCTATGCTGTTCGATTTCTTTGTGTTTGTTCTTATTTCAGAACTCTGGGGTGTGGTTCAGCACCGTTTGGCGAACTATTAGGGGGTTTCTTTGAACTTCTCGTGTTATTGGAAGTCCTGCACCCTAGGAATGGATGTTTTAAACCTGTATGGGTTTGATTATTGACGTTTTAAACGAAATTTCAAACTAGAATGCAGCCAGTTAACTCGTGTAGTGGCTCTCTAGTGTAATATATTTGGATAAAGAGCCCTGAAATTCTCCTTCCGTAGGACTACAAAAGTTGAGGCAACTTGATTTTCCCCATTTTTTCTGTTGGGTTATATTTTGCTGGATCCGAGCTGATAACTTAAGTTGCCGTTTCTCTACAATGTGCCTACTTTAGTAATAGATTAAGATGTAAAGGTATCATATTTGTTGTTTGTTACCAGAGAATATTTTCTGTAGAGCGACCGCGAAGCAATTTGGTTAAGCTGTGGTGCTTAAACTCATTCCATGAGGAGTTTTGTTCATTCAATTCTAATTTGTTTCCCGCAATTCATTCTGATTCTTTGTTTCTGCTGGTCTAATAATCCTTAGAGTTGATAGATGCTTCCGTGAAGAATGTCATACTAAGTCTAAAATAGTTTTACCCTCGGTCATAATTTGATTTGGCACTGTGGGTTTGGCCGCTATTATTGTGTGTTTATCACTTCTTTTATATATGTTAGTTCATAAATTTGCCAATCGATGTATAAGTGCTACATACTAGACGGTGTTGGTATTTTATATGAGATTGATCTGCGAGTTTCTAGCATGGATTTGACAGATGATGATTGCATTGGGTGCCTTTTTCCGTTTTCAATGTCCTTGTTTCTGCCATAAAAGGTCTACCTACGAATTTTCTTGCAGCCCCCAGGAATTAAAGCATTCATAGAAAAGGTCATTCAGAGTCCATTGCAAGACATTGCCATACCACTCTCTGGCTTCCGTTGGGAGTACAGTAAGGTGAAAAACATAACTGTTGTGATTGTATAGTATTTCATCTTCTTCTCCTTGAGATTGAGGATATTTTTTGGGTTCTATTTGCTTGCTTGAATCTGCACTAAAAGTTCACTGCTAGATAACGAGAATTCACCGAGTAGTCATCACATCTAGGACCCGGGTTGACAATAAAACCCAAACCCGCTATACTACGCTTTAGGAAGTGGTTACACTTGGCCATTTTCTAGAGGGACAGTAGGAGTGAGTCAACAATCACCATGCAAAATACCTCAAATCTCAAATGAAACATCACCCACACACAATCATTCAATCCACACAAGTAGCTACATGGTATAAGTTAGGGTTCTACAACACCCAAGTGAATAGGAGACTACTCCATGCTAGAAGAAGGAAGAACACAAAGGAAAAGGGGAAAAACCATCATGGATGATGCCTCCATCCTCCTTTGTGCTTGTAGAGATCCTCCCTTGAAGAGGAACTTTCCAATTCTTGACTTGGAGCAAACCCTAGCATCTTCTCCCTCTTGGTTTGCGACTTTCTCTCTCTAGGGTTGCAAGAAGAAGAAGCTTTTTTCACTTTGGGCTCCCCCTCCTTCTTCCTTTCAGCTCTCTATTCATACACAGATCGCGCCCAGTTCACAGTCCCAGCTCACGGCCGTGAACATCAGGCCGCGACTGTGAACTCTGATCAAAACGCGTCGCTTCACTTATGGGGTTCACGGTCCATGGTCCCAATTCACAGTCTTAGCTACCGAGAACTACCTCAGCGTCAGTAACCTCTGAAACCCCTCTGGATGCTTCACGGTTCACGGTTTTGGTTATAGTTCATGGTCCTGGCGACTTTGAACTCCAATGTTGGACCGTGAACTGCGTCTGAATACTCCTCTTTGCCTGGTCTTTGCTCCTTTTCTTTCAACTTTCGACTCCGAGGTTGGTTTCACCTATTGACTCTGAAACACATTGAAACACAAGAAAACTAGCGTAAAACCGCCATTTTTGGAGTACAAATGCCACAAACGTCAAAGATAAATGGGGATAAAAAGTGTACATTTAGGCCCAAATTAGTAGTATCGTCCTTGGAGTCATTTTATGTTATGTTTTGTTATGTTTTAGTATGTTTCATGCTCTAGTAGCTTAAATTGGCGAAAGAATCAAAAGTCAGACGAAAGGGAGTGAAAATGGGACAAAGTGCTAGGAATGTCTGAGTTCACGGTTCAAAGCAAATATTCACGGCAGAGAGCGTGAAGATTACAAGTCTCCAAGAGCATATGAACAACTCGGGGGCAGGAGCAGACTTCACGGGCTGAGGGCGTGAAGATTATTACAAAGAGCCTGTGAAGTGTGTAAGTGAAACGCTGTGTTTTCCCATATCGAATATTATCTTCTTTTATTTACATGTTTATTTAGCTCATTAACTTAAAACAACATTTCTACCGCTATATAACTTGTAGTTTGCTAAATTAGTGATGCATAAACCGCCCAGGTTTGATAATTCGAAAATACTTGCTCTATAGTCTATACTACGCTCAATTGAAGATTGCACTTCACCTGCGATTGGGAGTGTATTTAAAACCGAGTCAATCATTAACTAAACTATTGATCATCTCATCAACTTACATTATACAAAGTTTCTTTAAGGGCAATTATTTCTTACATCACATTTTAATAAAATGTGACACTTTACGCAACTTAATTCTTTTATTAGTAACTAATATATCCAGCATCTCATCAATTTGTATTACACAAAGGTTCTGTAAGGATGATTAACATAACAGATTGATCAAATGTTATACTTTTAATAACTTAATTTTTTTAATAGATCACACATTACAGAAAATTTATGTTACAGTGTTCTACATAAATTAAAAATACATTATGTCACAACCCAAGTCCCCCACTACATAAAGTTTATGAAATTATGTTATCTGAACAATTTTTTATTTGATTTCAATTAAATGGCTAAATGAGTAGATGATTTCTCAAATATAAATAGTTTACCCCGCAACAAAGCGCGAGCAAAAAGACTAGTACTTTTAAAATATAATAATACAGTAAATTGTTTACAATACATAAATTGAACAATAAAAGAAGTCAACCAACTGCATTATTCACAAGAGTTAATATGAGGGATGGGATTAGTTGCTAACTCCTAGTGGGGTTAGCACCCTACTAACTAAATTAATAACCATTAGATTAAAAAATAATCATAGTGTCATAATTAAATGAAGGATAGTTTGGTAAATACTCCATCAAACTCTAATTAAATAATAATTTTTGCCTACCGTTTTCCATAGCCTCCCACTCTCTCTCATCCTCTCTCTCTCAATCAAAGAAATTGTCTTCTTCTCTCTCGGTGAAGCAACTAAATCTCCGGCCGAAGCCGAATAAGCAAGTGTTGCCCTTAATCGCGACAGCCTAGCCCGCCCCGGCATCTGCCTCGCCACCGCCCGCGCCAGTCTCGCCATAGTCGACGAACAGGACGCCTCAATGATATTGATTCTGCCGCAGCAAGAAAATCCATTTCAACTGAACCTTGTCACCACGGCGCCACAACGAGGAAGATTATGTCGAAGCAACATTGATGGCGCCCCCAATGTCTCTTTATGTTGGTGGAACTCCACCTCTCGACAACTTGGGGGACCATACTTGCGTCTCTCTTCCTGCTCAAATCTCCACCCCAATCGTCACTATATGTAAAGCGGTTGTACACAGGGAAGCAAAATGGCAATGGGGATTTTTATAGATCTGTAGCAATTTTCAAATTTGTAGTACTAATTTTTCATATTGTGCTGATGATTCTCAATGGCAATGATTTACAGTAGTAGCGATTTTATAAATCTTATAGAGGATTTATGGTGTGTAATAGTGGTTTTTTGGTAACATTTTTTTTTTTTTGTAAAGATCGATGGCGACAACTAGTCATTATACAAAGAATATTAATGAGTACAAGAAATTCATGAATCACTCCAGATAGACAATTAAATCACGATAAGAAAATTGTTAAATCACTACTAATAATAGTTAAATCACTACAAGAAAATCTAAAATCTCTACTATAACCATTAAAACCACTACTAATTTAAGTAGTAGTCATTTGTTAGTAGTAATATTTCTTAGGTAAAAAAATATCTACTAAAAAGAAGAGAGATATTCAAAAATTAAATTATTTAATAAATAAAATTTGCTAATATTTATTAAATTAATATGCACATATTTATCAACTTAATTTATTATTATACCGAATATGCCCCTCATTACTCCGCACCATCAAATTTAACTATAAAAAAGTTCGAGACAATTTAACTTTTCCCCTTCTCTCTACCTTTCCCTTTTCTCTCGCCTCTCTCTAGACTAAGTTTTGAAATTCAAAGGGCTGCCGTCGGTTGAAACCGGCGGTGGCCCAAGCCCCTTTTTTCTTCCCTTTGCCTTTGTTTCTTTTCGCTTTTCAGATCATCTTTTTTACGGTTGCTTCATGTTGTTTTCCATTCTGGATTTTCTCCCATCCTTGTGATGATGATTTCTCCTTTCTCTTTGTTGAGAAGCATTTTGGCTCCCACCTTGCTGGTTTCCAGATCTCGTGTGGATGATTCTCTGGTTGGTGTTTGAGGGAGCCGATCTTCGGTTCGCTTTCTCCTCTCTGTTCTTCTATCTACCTCCATTTGCTTCATCCAAACCTGGGGATGATTCGGAGATGCATCAACCGTTTGCAGTCTAGGATAGACTTTCGGGGAGCTTGAGAGCAGGGAAGTCTTGTCTGTGGTGGATTGATGCCGTTTTGCTCAGAGCAGTGGAGTTTCAGAAGCCACTTCTCTATCCATTTTCTGGGGCTGCTCCTCTGGTTTTTTGTTGTTGCAGGTGTTTCTTGGAGTTGTTCCGGTTTTGGTCCTCCCCAACCTTTCTTGTGGCTGGTTTCCTCCTTCTGGTGCCGTCCCATCCTCCCGGTTGTTTCCTTCTCCGGCGGTGGAAGGCTGTCTTGGTTTGAGGTGGCGGCGTCAAGCGTTTGGAGTGGGGATGCATTCGGCAGCCACTACTCAATGATTGGGCTGACTGAGTTAGGGTTTCTAGCAGTAGGCTTTGGAGGTCCAAATGTTCGGATCAGGATTTGGGCCTCGTTTGGGTTTTGGGCTTTCATAAGCTTATGTTTAGATTTCTTGCTCAGTGGGCTTTCTTCCTTCCTTTCTGTTGTTGCTACAACTATGTACACCTTGTTTCGTATTAATGAAACGACCTTTCACTGTCAAAAAAAAATCAAATTTAACTACAAAGTAATCAAGGTGATCAAAATGGTTAGCATGGTGTAACTCTTTAGCAGTGTAACTTGTCCCGGTCATATGAAGTTTCCTCGCGGCGGAGCACATGGAACAGTGATCCAAAGATCTTAACTCGGATTTGTAGACAAGAGCTAGCTCCCAAAATTAGATTTCATTATTTCTTCCATATTGGGTAATATTATTACAAAAGGATAACAAGATAATGACCTGATGTAGCCTCACTTGGACAAAACCGTGGCCAATCCACCGAAACTTTCTTTCTACTTTTCCCACTTGGTTAAGTGTGCCAGATTTGGTCACGGACTACTGTAAGAAAGAATCAAACTAATTGGTTTGGTTGGCTTCAAGTTTGGACAATGGTGGACAACAACTGTGCCGCCGGTTGCTTCCATACACAGACCTTGGCTCCATCACCCTCCTTGACAGAAATGGCCGATTATCCCTCAATACAGTACATTGCTTCATATTACACGATACTCTCTCTACTACAAGTTAATGGCTGAGTAAAGCATCTGCAACAACCCCACAAAGTAGCAAAATAAAAGCAGTCCTCACCCTTTACTCCACCACCACCACTTTTAGTTCCACTTTTCCCACTGTCCCATAAAACCCATCTTTAACTGGAACTAATTCTTGCACCCTTTTTAGCCTGTGCAAACTGTTCTCTACTACGCCTTTCAGAAATAGGGAGTAAAACTGCAGATAGAAGCTCGAGGGGATTTTCACGTTCATGCCATGTCAACCCAGCAGGGAGTGAAACTGCAGATAGAATCCGATCATGTAAGGGGGAAAAAACTCCCTCCAATTCGTGCAGTGCAGCATCCCATCGAGTTCATATCTACTTTGATTTTCATTCTCCTGATGCTGTCCAATGAAACAGGTGGTGCTGGACAATGGGATGCTCAAACTCACTATATCAAAGCCACAAGGGATGGTGACTGGGATTCAGTACAATGGTGTCACTAATTTGCTTGAATCCAGGAATGATGAGATTGATAGAGGGTAAGTCAGTTTGCAACTCAAATTTAGAGAAAAGTGTTGGTTTTTCGATCGTTTAGATCAGTGAGGTGTAATGGGCTTGCTTTGGATTTTGAGGTTTGTATAGGTACTGGGATCTTGTTTGGAGCAAAACAGGAAGTACAGGAACAAAAGGGAGTCAGGAAAGGTATGTATGGAATATAGAGCAAAAGAAGACAATAACTTTTCATCTGTTGTTGTCATAGTTGACTTATGAAATATTTTCACTTGCTAATTGTGTGCAGAATTAGTGGGACAAGTTTTAGTGTGATAGTGGAAAATGAGGAACAAGTGGAAGTCTCATTCAAAAGAACATGGGATCCTTCCCTTGAAGGCCAACTTCCTTCCCTCATCATAGACAAGAGGTATGTATGGCTAACCAACTGATTAACTGTACAAAAAAAAAGGTCTGCAGTTTGTGTCACAGACTGAGAGTTTGATCCTTTTTACCAGGTTCATAATGCTGAAGAACTCGTCAGGATTCTATTCGTATGGGATATTCGAGCACTTGGCTGAATGGAGCCCTTTCAACCTCCCACAGGTCAGGATTGTGTTCAAGCTCAGCAAAGACAAGTAAGTAGCTCCCACCCCCAAGTGTCCCTTAGCTTTCAGCTAAGGATGGTTGACTAATGGTTGACTCTTTTTATGGAGAGAACAGGTTCCATTACATGGCTGTGAGTGATAACAGGCAGAGATTCATGCCACTGCCAGATGACAGGTCAGAAAAGAGATCCAAGCCACTTGCTTATCCTGAAGCTGTGTTGCTTGTGAACCCAGTTGAGCCAGAATTCAAAGGAGAGGTAAGTACAACACTTTCTACAGGAAAAAAACAGCTTTTTTTTTTATCTCTTAACATCTGCAATCCTGATGAAGTCTGGATTTGTTAGCTCAGGTGGATGACAAGTACCAATACTCGTGCGAAAACAAAGATTTGAAAGTCCATGGCTGGATTTGCTCCGATCCCACAGTGGGATTCTGGCAGATCACTCCTAGCAATGAGTTCAGAACTGGTGGATTGGTGAAACAGAACCTCACTTCACATGTTGGCCCAATCAATCTTGCTGTAAAATGAACATTCAGAACTCAAGGTGAATTTGACTTTTAGAACCACCACCAAAAATATCCTGATGGGCATTTTTTTTGTAATATTGAGCAGATGTTTCTGAGTGCTCACTATGCTGGTGATGAAATGGTCCTGAAACTCAAACCAGGGGAGCCCTGGAAGAAAGTACTTGGTCCTGTGTTTATGCACCTAAACACTACTACCGACGGACGCGACCCACTTTCGCTGTGGGAGGATGCTAAGCGGCAGGTTTGAAAAAAATTGAAGGACTTTTCATGTTTGTAACAATTGCAGGAGTTGTTTCTGACAAACAAAAGGGCTTCTGGAATTAAAAAAAATTCAGATGGCGGTTGAAGTTCAGAGCTGGCCTTACAGCTTCCCTGCTTCAGAAGATTTTCCTAAAGCGGAACAACGTGGCCGCATCAGTGGGAGATTCTTAGTCCATGACTGGTCAGGAAGTTCCATTTTTTTCATTTCCTGAAACAAATAACAAAAACACTTGCAAAAGGGTTGTATCATGTATTGCAGAATTTCTAAGTAGTTGAAAATGTTGCAAACTTCTAGGTGTGTCAGTGAAACTAGCATTCCTGGAAATGGTGGATATGTTGGATTGGCACCACCTGGAGAGGTTGGATCTTGGCAGACTGATGGCAAGGTGAATCTGATCTCCCCAGAGTTCCCTCAAACCATAGTACATTTGTTTTGTAACTCAATACCACACTGCATTTGGGTCACTCACAGGGATACCAGTTCTGGACACAGGCAGATGAGCAAGGTTTGTTCTCGATCGCCAACGTTCGGCCCGGGGATTACAATCTCTACGCCTATATCCCTGGTTTTCTCGGTGATTACAAATTTGGTTCTTCTGTCACCATAGCACCAGGTGCCACTCCTACCCTTACTTTTCATTCACGAAACTGAAAATGTGACGTCGTCTAAGACTGGATTTGATTGTGATCTTTAATCATGTTTTACGACGAGAACTCAGGAAGTAGTATGGACATGGGGGATGTTGTGTACGAACCTCCGAGACATGGACCGACGCTGTGGGAAATGGGTTACCCTGATAGAACTGCATCCGGATTCTATGTTCCTGATGTTGATCCCAAGTATATCAACAAGCTTTATGTGAACCATCCTGACAGGTCAAATAATTAATCCTCTGCCATTACACAATAGTAAATCTGTAAGAATGTCCATTATTCAAATTCTCTGTTTACTCTGCAGGTTCAGACAATACGGGTTGTGGGATAGATATACAGAATTGTACCCAGATAAGGATGTGGTTTATACTGTTGGGAAGAGTGATTGGGCCAAAGATTGGTTCTATGCCCATATTCCCAGGTTCCTCCCAAAGCAGCAGCTTCTTATGCTCCAAAGTTACCAGATAACAATGAAACTAACACAATTATTAATGAGTCCTTGTATGTAACGATTTTCAGAAGAACGAAGGAAGGCGAATATGTACCGACCACGTGGCAGATCAAATTCTACGTCGACAGCGTTGGCAATACGAGCAGTAGCAATGTGGGAGACTATTTGCTTCGCGTCGCTGTTGCCACTGCCCATGTTGCAGAACTGCAGGTACTACATCTCACTTATCCTGTTTATGCTGCTTTGTTCAGAGCAGACAATCATGGTTAAGAAAATGTGTGACATTGGGTTCATCGTGATGTTTAAGGTTAGAATCAACAACCAAGACATGAGTAGCTCTCCATTGTTCTCGACGGGAGTGATTGGGCACGACAACACGATAGGAAGACACGGAATCCACGGGCTGTATAGGCTGTACGAGGTTCTGGTCCCAGCTGCTCTACTTTCGAAAGGAGAGAACATATTCTACTTCACTCAGACGCAAACCAAGTCTCCTGCTACTGCCCCATTTGAGGGGCCCTTCCAAGGGATCATGTACGATTACATTCGTCTGGAAGCACCTCCGAGCTCGCCTCATTGTCTTTCTCTCGCATGATGGAATTGGAATTCACTGTCTAATGTTCTGGGACAGTATTCCAGATGTGCTTGTTAAACGAGATTTTAACTCGTTTACATGTTAAGTGGACCATATGTTTGTAGGTTAAAGTGGACTTGTTATGACAACTATGAACTATGTAATCTATACATGTATCCTAGTTTTTTTACCATATATATATTAATTAATTTATATATTTAAATTTTTTTCGATCTTGTAGATATTTTATGCTCTCGCTTCATAAGTGAGTATATGGTGTGTCTATATCGAAAATTCTTGAATAAATACAATTTATTAGCCAAATCTTTCTCGAATTTTAAATTACTAGCCAAACCTTTAGTAATACAAATAATTAGCCAAATATTAACTTCTCATTACCAGTTTAGTTAGTAATGTAAATTAGGCATCACTATGATGAGTTGGAGGATATCTGATGGTCATAATTCCAACATTTTCAAATTTTAATTAAGAAAAAATACCTCAGCAACACACTACTGTCAACGCTCAATCCCTCCGACACTGTTTGACTTAGGGCTGCAAATGAGCCCGAGTCGGGTCGAGTTTTGACCCAGCTTGAGCTCAGCTTGTTTACTAAAACCTCTGCTTGTGTTGACTCGAGCTTGGCTTGTTAATAAGCTCACGAGTTATACTTGAGTTTGACTCATCAATCAGCTCGCGAGATAGGTTCTAACTCAGGTATCATATCATTTAGTTCATAAATTTAAAATTTTCATATTATGTTATTTGATAATAATTAGTATTCAAATAGTCTATAATATATAATTTCATTTTCAAAATATAAAGGAGACATATTTGGCCATATCTTCATAGTCGGGTAAATGCCACATTTGGTCACTGGGATTACTAAAACGTGTCATGTTTAGTCACTCGAAAAGTTTAATATCAATTTTGGTCACTCCAATTACTGAAACCGTCCACATTTAGTCACACTCTCTGTTCGTCCCCCTCCAACTCCGTTAATGAAGCATGTTATGTGCTGACATGGCTAACGAAATCGCCTAGTCATCGTTGTTTTGGTCCGGAAATGGTCAAACCCGACCCGCCACATCACTAAACCTGTCACGTCATATGTACAACCAAACCCATTAACCCAACCCGACTCATGAACCAAACCTGACCCTATTCTCCATCTCTACCAGGCCTCCCCACTTCTCCCTCTTCCATTTCACATTGCCGACAAACCCGCCCCCTTCCGTTTCAAACCATAGTTAGTAAAATACAGTACGAGAAAGTTACGTAAAAAATACGTACGGGTAATATATTTCGTCTTTAAGCTAAAGTTACGTTTAATAGTACGTAAATAGTCATAAATATATAAAATTAATCATTTTAAATATAAATAAATATATAAATAATAGTAAAGTTAACAATTTAATTCGTAAAATATGGATAATATACGTGTTATAAGGATTTAATACGTGTTTAGTACGGGAACCATCAAATAAATGGGGAAAAATGAAACAGCTTAACAATAATACGGATACAGAAGTCTTAAACAGATAAAGTACGTACGAGTACCTATACGTGTATTAAACGGAGTATTTACTAACTATGTTTCAAACCCGACCCATTTCATAGTCGGTGATGTGGTGTGTTGACCGTTAGTCAACGTGTTTGACCGTCCAAGATAACGGACTAACGGTCAATTTTCGGGTTTGGTCAATTTTGTTACTTTCATGTATAGTTCGGGCCAAGATGTTATAGATCGAAAAGATTGGTGAGGACATTTATTACGTGAAAAGTTCAGGTCATACAAATATATTAACCCTGTGAAATAAAGCATCAATGATCATACACAAAGATGATTAAAACTTCTAGAATACAATAAAGCATCTAGAGGCATAAGCATCGATGATGATAACATAAAACAAGATAAACATCTTATTAACTCGCTATCATTTAACAAGAGTATTCTTATTCGACAAAATAAGTATATCGATGAACACACGACCCTACATCTCATGAGTCGTTCAAATAATTAGTATCATATACTTGACGAACCCACAATCCGACATGAGAACGATCACAAACATTTAATTTGTATCGACTCGGTAACAAAATGGTGACAAATTAAATAGAACCGGCAATTTCATACAATTTGAAAATTTTGTTACTTTGTGAGCAAGATCAGGGGCAAAAGCGTCAGATAAAAAATTGCCTTAAATCCGATTCATCGTCCCTATATAATCCCTCGATCCTCAAAAACTAGGGTATATAAACTCCCCAAATTCTTGTGTTTTCTGTGGGTACAGAGGCATTTACACACATACAGATTCTGCGACAACGTATGGACCTTCATATTGCAGGATGCATTGTTCAAGAACGGAGAAACCCAGGAGAACGTAGGTCGTGTTAAAATAGTAGCATGTGATTCGAAGCTGCTAACACAATGAGGTTCTCAAAAGTGACGAACCCCATTTGGGAGCTCTTGATGGTAAGGCAGGGAGGGATGGTAGCATGATGAAGGAGCACTGAGACTAGGGACTAGTTTTATAAAAAAAAAAAAAAATCCAGAGAAATGAACAATGTTGTTATGAGATGAGATTGAGAGTTGAGAACACCGCTGCGGATGATTATTCCATTCCATTAATGCAGTCTATCAATTCTAACACCATGATTTATATCTTTGCCTCTCTTCCCAGTGCTGTCTGGTGATATGTTTGCAGGTTAATTACTCTTCTGTTCAAGGAGTGTTCTTACTTCGTTGGTTCTTGTCCAATGTTCTTTGGCTGTGTTGTTCGTGGTCTACAGCGTCTAACTAACAAGTTCAAAAATGCTTTCCGACTACGTTTCACGTGTTGAGATAGTCGGCGGCTAATCGTGTGAGCCTTTTTACTATTTGCCGTCACCTGTCCATCCAAATGTGGGGATAGAAATGGCACCAGAAATTCAGAGATACCCAATACCCGCAAGTTTTACTTTTTGTCTTCAATTCAACATTTTTTTTTTTTTTTTTTGGCTCGTTAGAGTTGAACTCCAGTTGAAAAATTGCATCAGGTCTTAGGGTTCTCCTCTGGGATTTCACCTTCCCTTGCAACAAGTGGCCACAACCACCTTAGCTAGCTCCTATATATATGGACCCAACCCAACTACTGCCTTTACTCTGTGAAGGTGGCTTGGCTTCCATGTGGATATATAACTGTAACTTGTGTCTGTCTCTTTTTTCCAGGAGATGTTCATTCCTGGTGATGGATCAAACTCTTACAAGCCTGGTGCACTGCAGACCCCATTTACTAAGGTTTGTTGCTGTCGTCGAAGCTCTGAAACAGAAAGGGAGATGAATTGTCTCTGGAAACGCCTACCATCTAACTACCCAATTTCTTGCCATCAAAGAAAGCTCAGTATAAAATCAAGCATGTTACATCTAGCTTACTGGGGCCTCTGACTAAGAAAATTTTTTCTGCATTACAGTGTTCTGAGTAGTAAGTAATGCAATATTACGTACAGGTCCTTTTCAGATTAACGAGAGGTGAACTTCATTTTTTTTGGTGACAGTGTAACATTAGAGGTTCCATAGTTCTTCACTGGGGTTTATCCAAGTTTGTCTTTGGTGGAGTGGTTGGTGAGTTCTCTTGTTACACACAGTTGTATCAAATTCAGGTTCCTTTTTAACTGGAGTGCACATTTGAAAACTTCCTGCAAAGCTCCTCCACCTGGTCTACTGCCTGAGAAATTTGAACTTGTTCTTGGTGCTTGTCAGACATATTTCAGTGAAGCAGCCACAGCAAAACTCAGATAGTTAATAATCTTCCACTTTTATATGGCTTTGTACTAACCCTCCCCAATTTTGGCACATGCACACATACTTCTCTGTCAATTTGAAAAGCAATCGATGTAAGTGAAAAAGGTTGCTAGTTGATTATGTACTGTCAGTATACTAGATCTTTAATGCAGTTTCTGTTAATTCTTTGGAATTGGTTGGTGGAGAAGGGAAAGGCAGTATGAAATGGTTACTTGATGAGGTAGCACAACATGAAAAGGAGGCCGAGAGGTCCTTGATGCACAGGTTACTATCATTGCTTTGCCCTTTATCAACCGTACTATGGAATTAGTACGCTTGACTGACTTTCATGCATCAGAGAAATAAAATAAGTGCAAAACTGGGATGATGGAGGAATGGCACCAAAAGTTGCACAACAATAGCAGCCCAGATGATTTCATCATTTGTGAGGTATGCCTTCGGATCGATTAAGTCTGTATTTGGTGTAAGCTTTCAGTTCTTTCTCGGCTTGAGACATCCTAAACATATTATGTTTCTGTCTTTCGTACAGGCGCTCTTGAACTGATTTATACTGGCAGACACTGAATGCAAATGGGTTGACAAAAGAGAAACTTCTCAGTTATGACCGTCTATTTACATCAGAGCCTCGTTTCAGAAGAGATGCTAAAGAGGGTCTCATATGTGACCTTACCGTGTATTTGAAGGCATTAAGGTGCTGTCAACTGATGGAGGCTAGCTCACTCTTGGCCGATAAAATGAGTGTTTACAAATATTTGAACTGAGAAATTACCGTCTCGTAATCATTTGGATTTTGCATTCATTTTCCAGAAATAACTGGGATCTCGGACTGAACTCCACTGATTCCTGTTGACAAGTCATGGGAAAGTTAAAGACGTGCTTTTTCTTAATCTCTCTCTGGATTCAACGGACGGTCAGAACAACGTTGGAAAGGAAACTCAAAGATCTCAGCTATGTGCAGCCTCCTGTACGTAGTCTAATACATATCTGCATATTTATTTCGGTTGAGAAACGCCAGCTTTCAACTTCACATTGCACGAATGGACCTAATAAAAGAGGAAACAATAGTCATCTGTGGTTTCTTATCACTGAATAGGAAAGTGCATTCTACATTACTTTGGCGCTGGAAAATTTATTCCTTTGCACTGTCAACAACAAGGACCTCATTTGTTCCATAAAGGTACATCACAATTGCTTCCCCTAGCTCATCTATCCCTAGATTTGCTTGAATGAAGAGATGAATGTATGTTCAATTTTCCCATTTTACATTCCCGGGCAATCGGAGCTTCAACCATGTCCAATAAAAAAAACTGTTTTGCATTCTAACCATTAATGGCTGCTTGTATCTGTTCTAAGGTTCTTCCTTTTGTTTCTGGTACCACCATGATTACAAAGACTATGGCTAGCGCGTTGATTCCAGCATAAACAAGAAATGTACCTGCATGACAGAGACAATTTCCATCAACCAAATTGCGCTTTTAACTCCGTCTTAATGTCCATCAATCAATAAAAGCATTATATCTTTACCATAGGAGCTCCAGGACATGAGGAAATTGAATGTGTAGGAAACTGCCCATGCACCAAACCAGTTAACTAGTGTTGCTAAACCTCCAGCTGCTCCTTTGATGTTTATTGGAAATATCTAATACATAAAAGAAAATTCCAAAAAAAAAAAAAGCGAAATCGGTTGAGTTAAATGATGAAAGAATATGATAATCCCTGAGTGTGCTCTTTCTGTCAAATGAAAGGATATCAGTTACCTCAGACATGATAACCCATGGAACAGCGCCCATCCCTGCTGAAAAGGACCCAATATATAACTGCAACTCAAAAACAGGAAGAGACTTAGAATTCAAACCCTTTTGAGTTACTAAGGGGAAGGTTGTATTAGTTTTATGCCAAAGCTTGTTTAGGGTTTTACCAGTATGCCAGTTACGGCCATCACAGGAACATAATCCAGAGCCAATTCATTGACCTAATTTCACACAGCAGAAAGACATCATAAAGCACATTACATTTGCATTCTCAAGAGACAGACAAAAGGACATGAGATTATTAGCTGAGAAAGAAAAGACCTTGAGGTAGAATGAAAGGCCTGTTATCAAGCAGGCCAGCACCAAACCAGATCCAGAAGCCTGCTCAGGAAAAAATCATGATGAGTTTACCAATATCCAAATTAGGGTAGTGGGAAAGTGAAGATTCTGTTTTTTGTTATTTATCGGTGTCCGGTTTTTACCAGTAAAAGGGGCTTCCTTCCTGCTCTGTCAATCACTTGTGTAATTAACAGTGTCACCACAACCTGCAGAATTTCAAACAGATTCCTATTAGTGTTTGGATTATGAGTGCTTTTTAGGGATCCATGTTGAGGGTTTAGCAAAACCTGAAGAATGGCATAGGTAATAGTTCCAACACTGGGAGAGAATCCTAACACAAATGACATTCACCAATAAGTTAACAGAGACAAGAAAGTTCCACTGGGGGGCGAATCCAACAAATTGCTTTTGTAAGTATATTTGTATGTCAACCTGCTGACTGGAAGATGTTACTGAGATAGAAGCACACTCCATTGATTCCTCCAAATTGTTGAGCCACCATCAACCCAACACCAATCTGGCAAAGGCAAGACAAAGTCATACACAAAAAAAGAAGCTAAGAGAAAAACAGAATGCATCCCTGTAAATGAATAGCAGAGAAATGAGAGAACACACAATGACTGATCGTAGATATCTTCTATTGAACAAGTCCAGCATCTTTACTTTAGGAAGGCGGTCGAGTGTTTCAATGTATTCCTGGGGAGATTATAAAACATTAGCTTTTTTCTGTCATTCAATATATTTCTTAAACCCTGCAATTATACAGCAAGGTTTCAAACCATAATCTCAGCTGCCTCCTCCGCAATATTAGCATCCTTGCCCCGAAGTTTCTGCAATGCAACCTCGAACTCCTTTTCGTGACCTCTCTTTGCCTGCAGGATAGATACAGAACATCATACAATATTAACAAAATGCAACTTAGCTGCTGCAATTCCTAACATTTTTTAGACAATAGTAATTTAGTTTGGGGTACCAGCCATCTAGGAGATTCTGGAATGAAAAACAGTCCTATAAGCAGGATTCCACAAGGGACGAGTCCTGCAAAATGCCACAATCAGTGAGATCCAAATTCCTCTAAAACATTTGCCATTCACCAAAATGGAGAAAGTGAGCCTTTTCTTTCTCTTTACCGGTTAAAGCAAGAGCCCTCCACGTTAGGAATGTGCCTATAATGAATGATACCGAAACTCCACCACAGATCATAACCTGATTCAAAGTGGCTAGAGCCCCTCGAAGATTCTTGGGCGCTATTTCGGATATGAAAACAGGCACCTGATCATCGTTACCATCATTTCAAGTTTCAACACCATTGAAATCGAGATTGGTCTAAAGCAATATTTTCCAAAGAAAATGCAAAAGAGCAAGATGTGTTACCACATAGGAGAACACTCCCATCCCATAGCCAGTTGCCAATCTGCCAATGTCCAGTGCCACTGCTCCCTTTGGTTATAAACCAAAGAAACAACAACTCAGAATTTCAGATATACCAAAACATAGAAATCCATGTTTACTACAAACGCACCTCAGCAAAGTAAATGGCAATCCAGCCTGCAGCGCAGAAGGCACTTGACAGTCTCATCACCTGCGAATGGAAAGAAAGATGCTGACATTTTGCTTCTGAAAGAACCCCCCCAAAAAGTTAAGCTAGCTGCTTTTGTGTTTTGATGGTTGAAACTTAAACATTACCCCTTTTCGGCCCAGGAGATCAGCCAATGATCCGCTTGTGATTGCACCAATCATTGCCCCAAACGTCAGAATTGAACCAAACATAGAATACTGCACATTTCTCAACAGCTCTGAATTCAGAACTACAGACTACAACCCACAACTCGTTTTGAGAGAGAACAACAGTACACCCTACCTCGGCCAGAGACAAGGAGAGATCTTCCCTGATTGCATCTTGTGTTGGCGATGAATATCCCGCCTGCAACAAGCCAACAACATGGTTTTTCATATGACTAAGAACCCATCATTTTGTGTAAAGCAAAAGCTAGCTGCAACAACAAAAACCAATACGAAAACTTACACAGCATCCGAATACATAAGACCCGCAAACAGCGACAAATGTGCTGAGATAAACCATCCACAAGCTCTCACTCCTGCCCTGCTGCTGCAAACCATCTTCTTCCACGGATGCTGTGGCTACCGGGTAATCGTTGTTCTTCCGTATGAGTGGCTCCTTCATGTTCCAGAGGTTGAAAAGAAGACTGGAAGCTAGTTCAGCCGACCTGTGTGTGTGTTTTGCATATCAGTCCACAGAGATGAAGTGGAGAATGAAAGGACGTTTGTTTGGTGATATAATAATGGAATGAAATTGATATTTCCAAGTGTACCATAGGATACATTCGTCGTTGATTTGGACTTAATTGGGTTGTTAATAAATTTGATTTCAAGGATAAGCATTTCCTTCTCGGGGTGTTGATCAACGTGGGGTTTTCATTGCGTAGATTGTTGTTATCTTCTTCTTGTCCTTGGATCTGTGACCCCACGTTGCAGTAACCGTAGGAGACTGCTCCTCTGGTTACGTATTCAAACAAATATTTTGGTTTCAGCAGATATAAAGTAGTATTTTGTTCCTACACTCAGCATTTTTGTGATAATGCATTTAAAAGACAATTCAACGACGTTAGTACGTGCTTATTGTCATTAACATCATAGTGCAATTGTGAACTTGTGGTGAAGAAACTAGAATAGTTATTGAATCATGATACCATTTTTCGTACGAAGAAAATACCGCAGTTTAGGTAAAACATTAATTTGGACATATCATTAAAAATCCGCTAACAAGCCTAACAGGACATGAAAGTGTTTGGTGAGATTGCTTTTTTAATATTTCTGGCTTTGTATGTCTGGCAGGCGGCGCCATGCGAACAACTTGACGCTTGTTTTTACTTGGGTTGAGCCTCAATAATAGTGGTGGTGATTGACCCTTGTCCATTTTATGTAGGGTTAATAACATTGTATACCTCTCTACTATTGCGAATTAACAAATGTATCTCTTTATTATTTTTTGGCACAGACATTACCCTTTTATTATCAAAACGATAACAATCATACTCTTCTGTCAAACTTTCCGTTAACTAACTGTTATGGAGAAGGAGCAACTACTAATTTACCCCTACTTTGTCACTTAGTACTATTTCATTAAAAACCCCATTAGTAAATATTAACTAATTACTTTATGTTTATTAATTTACTATGCATTTATCTTTGCATTCAATTCCCCGATTCCATTTCAATTCAAGGATGGGTTCCTTCGCTTTTGGTCGCTTTTCATACCCAAATTAGGGTTTACATGTTGTGGAATCGACGGGTTGAAAGGCAACCATTGATTAATTTTTTATAAAGAGAATTTCGATCCTTATGCTAAAGCTTACATGGGCGTTTGGCAGTCAACGGTACCAGCATCGTCAAGGTGCAGCTGGGTGGTGGAGAAGAATCTGGGCGCCGGAGTTGTCGAAGATTGATGAAGGCTGGGCGGTAGGGTGGGCGCCGGAGGTTCAGCAACTCAACGCCAAACGGCTCCGCGCCGGCGATTAGTAGAGAGAGAAAAACAGAGGAATTCGTTTGTTCTTCCCATAGATTCGCGCGCCAACGATCTGGGTTTGGTTTGCTGCGAATTTGATCGGCTCCGAGTTTGGTTTGAGAATTCGATGGAAAATCCGCCGTCAATGGGAAAGGAACGGCGAGCCTACTTCTCTTAATTAGGGTTGGGTTTGGATTCCTCCTGGACAGAAAGGGGAAATAAAAATGAAGGAATTAAATAATGAGTTATTTTTGTGGCTAAACGAAGACGGAAGGGAGAACAAAAAGATCGATTCGGGCGAAAAAGTTCAACTGCTCATAGTGGGTTTTGTGAGTAGATACTTAATGACTCATATATCCGCCGAACCAAGAGGAAGGAGGCCGTGGGCAGTTTTTTAGGCGAGCAGAAATTTTGGGCGGAAAGTGGACAGTTTTTTGACGGACCAAAATTTTGGGCGGAAAGTTGGAGAAAGAAGAAACAATTCGGGTCTGGTGGCTTGCAGGTTGCAGCCTAGTAAGAGCTACCCGCCGATGGCCCATGGGCCGAAGGCTCATAAAACAGATTTTTGGGCCCATTCTGCTTTGCTGATGAAATTTGGGCGGGATTTTGCTGAAGAAGATTTGGGGGGATATTTGTTGAACAATAAAGGGGAAGGTGGCATTAAATGATCTCAACCATCACTTTCACTCTCTAACCCCTCTCTCTCCTTTTTTTCCTTTAATTTTCTGCTCAACCACCGCTAGAGTCGCCGGTGATCGTCACTCCCGGCGAGACTCTCCTTGTCGGCGAGCATCAGTTCCGGCGAGCCTCTCCTTGCTGGCGAGCAGATCATTCTTAGAAAGGATGATTTCGACGACGACGGCGAGTTGGACGGTGTGGTTGCTTTCATTGTAGAAGAAGAAGAACTCGATCCTACACTAGATGAATTTGTTGATGATGACTCAAATGGTGTGGGTGACTTCATTGTAGAAGAAGAAGAAGAAAGTGAAGGTGGATTCTATTATATATATGTTTCTGTTGTTGAGTTTTGTTGTGTGCATTGAATGTCATTTAATGGTGTTGATATTATTTTGGGTGTAACCTCCTGTTTCATTGGGTTTTTTGGTGTGGATATTATTTTGTGTTGTCATGGATACGTTGTAAAACTATCTAAGATATTTACCTGGGCATGTTGGATATTGTTATGGACGTGATGAAAGTGGTTGGATATTTTTTTGGGTTTTTGGGTATGGATATTCTTTCGAGTGTCATGGATACGTTTTAGGGATAGGTGAAATATTATTCTGGGTATATTGGATATTTTGGTGGAGGCTATTGATACGTTTCTGGAACAAAAGGATAAGATGTATTTAAAGGTTGGATACTTGTCGAAGTCTAAGAATTCAGTCTGTTTATGGGTATGATTTAGACGTCTATTTGATACTATTGTGGGCATGTTGGATAATTGTTTGGGCAAGTTAAATGTGGATACTAACATGGCCTCATACAATTAAATCGCAGCTCACAAGACATCGGACCTAGAAGATGAGGAAACGAGGAAGAACATAATTTATCGGACTAAGGAAGAGTGTTTGGCTTTCTATAAACGCTATGCTCACGAAAAGGGTTTTGGTGTTCGAAATGGTGCTCAACACCAAAGAAAAATGAAGAATTCTAATGGAGAGGTGGAGAATTTATTTCTACCTTTATTACTTTTGAAATAAGCAAGGTTGGACTTCCACTAGCGAAGTAGATGTGGAGAAACAAAAACAGTCCAAAGACAAAGTTGTGGAGAGAAAGCGTCCTAAAAGAAATAGGCCTCGAGTTAGGGTTGGATGTAGTGCCCGTGTTCGTTTTCGATGGGATGAATCTAGAGACGGATATGTGGTGTGTGAATTCGTGGGAGCCCACAATCATGATTTGCACTCCACCGAGCATACGCACCTTATCAAGTCCAACAAGTGCATGAGTGATACTCAGAAAAAGATGGCCGAAGCTAATCGCGATGCCGGGATGAGTCTTAGTGCATCGTATCAGTTATTGGCTGACTGTGCTAGTGGCTATCAAAATCTGAAATTTACCAAATCCGATCAGAAGAACCACTTGAACAGTAAAAGGCAAAGGAAAATGGCTCGTGACGAAGCGACTTATTTGCTTGACTACTTTGAGGACCAAAAGGAAAAGCATCCTAGCTTCTTTTATGATGTAGAGGTAGATTGCGATTGCGAGGAGAAAGTTGCTAATATTTTTTGGGCGGACAGTAGGATGCGTTAAGATTATGCGCTTTTTGGAGATTCGGTCTCCTTTGATACCACCTTCTGAACCAATAAATACTTCCGTCCACTAGGTACGTGAATCACTTAATTGCCTTGATTTTTTTCGACACTCGTTCGGTTATGGATTGTCAGTAATAGTTGTCAGGAGCATGGATGTTTGTACGTATATTACAGAAATGGTATTGAATAGAATGTAGGGTGGTTCAAGAGTGGTCTCTTGTGATCCAATATTGACATGGCCTAACAGGATATGTTTTTGTAAAAGGACGAATATTTGTATGGCATTATGAGATACTAGTGTGGGTTTTACAGATATTTGTTGACATGTGTTGGCACAATATCAATTCCTAATTCCCTTAAGTTTTTTCGACACTCGTTCGGTTATGGATGGTCAGTAATAGTTGTCTTGTGCGTGGATGTTTGTACGTATATTACAGAAATGGTATTGAATAGAATGTAGGGTGGTTCAAGAGTGGTCTCTTGTGATCCGATATTGACATGGCCTGACAGGATATGTTTTTGTAAAAGGACGAATATTGGTATGACATTATGAGATACTAGTCTGGGTTTTACAGATATTTGTTGACATACGTTGGCACAATATCAATTCCTAATTCCCTTACGTTTTTTTCGACATCGTTCGGTTATGCATTGTCATTTATAGTTGTCTTGTGCAGGGATGTTTGTAGGTTTCAATCACCATCGTCAAACTTGTGTGTTTGGTGCTTGTTTGATGTATGATGAGACTGCACAGTCTTTTGAATGGTTGTTTTTAGCATTTAGTCGGTGCATGAAGAAGAAGCTCCCAGTCACTATTTTTACTGATCAGGACGCCGCATGGCAGCTGCCCTTAGAAAGGAGTGGCCTGCTGTGTTTCATGCCATCTGTACTTGGCACATCCTCATGAATGCGAAGAAGCATCTTCGTAAGGACAAGGCATTTTGAAAGAAGTTCCAAACTCATCTTTCTTATATTTTCTACGACATCGACAGTGAGAGAGAGTCCGACATGGCCTGGAGCACAATGGTTGTTGATTGTTTCCCTAATAGCGAAATTGCGGACGGTCACCCATGGTTGGAATATTTGAAGAAATTTCGTCGTCGATGGTGTTCCTTATGGTTGAGAGATCAATTCACAGCCGGGATGTTGACTACGCAAGCCAAGGAGTCGTGGAATGCACAAGTGCGATTTTTCTTGAAACCGAAGCATGATTTGGACTTGTTTTTCATTCACTTTAGCAGGTATGCAGAATATTTCTTTGCCTTTCTTTGATATTAGTCTACTTAAGTTTTGGATATTTGTCAGCGTTGTCCGGATATTTATATGCTATTGGAATGATATTACTTTGTGTAGTTGGGATATAAGAATTGGTTTGAGTGGATATTAGTCTGGGCACTAAATTCTTTCTCATGCTTTGTAAATGTAGTTTGTTGGCCGAAAAAAGACGCAAGGAGACGGAGTCAGACTACAATGGGAAACAATCGGTTCCTTATATTATGTTGGAGGATAGCCCGATCCTACAACATGCGGCAAAGGTCTTTACTCCTAACATCTTCAATCGGATACAAAAGCAGTATTTGAAAACTGAACCCTATCTAATGGAGACGCTCTCAGATACTAGGGATGATGGCATGATTGGCTACCTCACATATATGATAGAGGATGGTCAGCGTAGTGATGAGCGTGTCGTTCTCGTTGATATTTCTACGAGGACATTGGTATGCGAAAGCAGGATGTTTAGAACTTTCGGAGTGTTTTGCCGCCACATGATTAAAGTGATGCGGCATCTTGGAGATTTGGGGAAGCCAGTATGAGAAGTATTCCATATCATTACATACTCGAGCGATGGACGTTGGAGGCGAGAAAGAAAGTGGTTGTTGATGTTGATGGTTGTGTTGGTCCTTCAGCTGACAGTGAGAATGATGCGGGAAAAGGTATAGCAATGCGGTACCAAGAAACCACTGCAATGTTGAATCAGCTAGCAACAAAACTGTCGATGGCCGAGGAGAAAGACTACAATAAGTGTATGGGGGTACTCAAGAAACTGTGCAATGAGGCAAACAAGGCATTGTCAAAGACTATAACTAGCGAGGACAGTAAGTGTATTCACTAATATTATTTGTAAATTGTTGGAGTTTAATATCATTGCATTTACTAAATTTTGTAACATTGTAGGACGGTCTATACCGATAACTGGGCTGACTTTGAAGGAGAAGAGTAATCCAAGGAGCAACGATAAGGAAAGTTACCAGTCTAAGAATGAAAAGGAACGCCGCCGAAAGAAACCTGTCTATAGGAAGGGAATGAAATCAAATGAAGCGGTCACGCCGGACAACAATACTCAACCGGATGACCATCTTAGTGATTTGGATGATACTATTGCTCAATGGTAATAAATATAATGTTGGGTGGGTCGAGTGTGATCTATTGTGATCTGATATTGACATGTTATTCCAGGATACGTTTTTTTGATGAAGTGGATATTAATCCACTTGTAACATATACCTTTCTGGGCAATCTGGATATTTATTAGCAGTGTGCATGGATATTAGTCCATGCTTCCTGGATATCAGTATTATCAAAAGCAGGTTCAATAGTACCAATGATTACTTCTTTCACTAGCCACATGTGCAGGAACTTAGGCTTGGATAATATTTAGGGATGGATGCTATTTAGGGTTGGATAATATTTAGGGAGGTATGATGTTTTGCAGCAGGATAAATATATGTCTTTTTGTATACTAATATCCATAAAGAACAGAAAAATATCCATACTACCCAGACAAATACCTTCTTTATTTAAACAAATATCAGAAAATCATAGACAGATATCCGAAAAACCTAAAAAGATATCCGAAAGACCCAGACTAATATCAATACAGCCCAGAACGATACCCTTCATTTCTTCACGGTCTCCTCGGTGTTGTCTTCATCATCTGACTCTGAAAAAGCGGGGAACATTACCTCGTCCCAATCCATGTGAAACCCACACCCGTTATCATTGTCGTACTCGTACATCCGACATCGGAAATACCTCTTCGGTGG